TCAGCTAAAACCTTGGATGATAACCAACACCCTAGGTGACAGCTAGCACCCTCATTAACAAGTAGGAAGAGCAATTCCTGCCCCAAGTGGAAAGTGGCCTTTTGGGGGCTGGGGGGTGTAAATGGGAGCATGCCAGCATGCACTTTCCTGACACAGGGTGTCTAGGTGTAGGGATGGTACATTTGCAGACATGGCACCACCCTGGCGTCGCTGTGTGACCTGAAGGCAGGCCCCTGTCCTTCTGGTTCCCCGGTTCAGGTACTCCTCAGTGGAGAAACGCATGTGGAACTTGCTTAGAACTTAGCTGACTGGGATACTTACCTGCCTAAAACCCTCCTAGAGCTCCCTGTTGTCATCAGGGACCCATCATCAGGGACCTATCCCTTAGTCGGGTGTTCCTAGTCTTGCACGACTTCTGCCAACCTCTTTTTCCAGTCTTACCCCTCTTTACACCCACATCATCAGGTCTCCCAAACTGCAGCCTCCGTGGCCAGATCAGGCCTCTGCCGATCCTGCTGTGATGTCCCCTCCTGGTCCTCCCCCTGGGAAACTTGTGCACAGAGCTCTGGCTGTCCTATGGCCAGAAGAGGGAGGCACCAAGGTTTAGACACAACATATATTTTTACAATGACACTTCTCTGTCTGACTTGTTTCTTCTTTTTGGATCATCAGATTGTGAATTCATCAGACCATGAATTTGGATGGGATCTTATTCATCTCGATGATCCTAGAACCCAGCACTAACGCTGAGTAATACATGTTTCATATTTATGTTTCATATTAATATTTATTAACGCATGTTTAGTTTATGATTGAATGGGTGAAAGAATGGTGAGAAGATAGGTGGGTGAGTGAATGATTGGTATGAGTGGTAGAGAGAAGTGAGAAAAGTTAACTGATGTTTATGTGTATGGGTAACAAGGATATAGGGGTAATGGATGAATGCATGGCAGAATGATGGATGGGTGAAATACTAGGTGAATGCACGGTTGGTAGGGGATGAATGACTGGATGGAGAGGTGAATTAATGGATGAGAGATGGATGCAATGTAGAATGTGTGTGTGCGTGTGTGTGTGACGTGGATGAGTGTATAGATAATGGTTGGATAAGTATCGGAAGCATGGTAGAGGGAGGTACTAGATGGTGGATCGATGGAAGATGGTGAATGGTGGATGCATTTATGTAATGGTCATTGGTTAAGTAATGAGCAGATAACTAGACTATAGATTGATAGACGGAGAGTGGATGGATGTAGACAGTAAATTGATAGACTGATGGATACTGAGAGAATCTATAGAGAGAGGATGAATTACAGATAATAGGTGGTGGATAGTGGATGCTTGGTGGATGGATGAATCATGGAAGCATGGATGGATGGTGGATAAATAGTAAGTGGATGATTAAGATGGATCTCTCCATAGAGAATGGATGGATAAATGGCAGATAAATGTGAATGGATGTATGGTTGAGGGATGGATTGTGAATGATGTACAAGGGGTTGAATGGTGCATGAATAGAGAAAAAGATGGCAAATGAATGGTTGCTAGGTCAATGGATAGTGGTTTGTGTACTATGGGAGTATAGGTGGAAGGTAGGTAATGAAAAGATAATGAATGGGTGGATTCTGAATGGATGATTATGTGATGAATGGATGATAATTAAATGACAAATGGCTACATCTCAGAAAATGGAAGGATGAAAAGTGAAAAGTGAAGGAGAGGATGGTGGAGAGATGGTGGATGGACGGTAGATGGTGAGTGGTGTATGGTAAATGCATGGTTTAGTGTATAAATGGAGGAAGATGGGTACATGGCAAGTGAATGAATAATGAAGATGGATATTAAATGGATAGTGAGTAATGGGTGGGAGCTGATGCACAGTTGATAAATGGATGGATCACGGATGGATTGTAATGGTGGATGGATTATGGTGGTTGAATGCTCACTGTTATTCTCTATCTCCAGCACCTAGAACAAAAGTTGGCACATAGAAGGCACTCAATAAATTTTTCTATAATGGATGAATATGGATGGATGGTAGAAGATACCTGAATGGGTTTTGGATGAATAGTGAATTATGGCTGGATGATGGGTAGAGGATATTTTGAGATGGACAATGAATGGATAGATATGTGGTGGATAGGGATAAGAGTTGGGTGGATGGTAGATGGTTAGTGAGTGGATGGATGGTGGGTCATAGTTCATAGAAATATGAATGGAGGAGTGATGGTGATTGGTAACTGAATTGTAGATGAGACGAATTGTGGCTGATTGTATAGATGGAGGCTAGTGGATGGGTAGTGGATAAATCCAAGTAAATGGGCAGTAGATAAATGATAGATTGATTAATGACAACCAGACCTATGGTAGGTGGATAAATGAATGGTAGATGGATAGTGGTTTAATACTGATGGAAAGCTGTTAGTGAATGATGCGGGGGTAGGTGGTGGATGGATGGATGGTGAATTAATGTTGGACTGATGGGTATTTTTGTGGTGTATGGATGCTTAGTAAATAGTGGGTATGGGTGGCGAATGGATGGATGCGTGGCTGAAATGAATACTGGTTGGATCATGGGTGGTGGTTGGGGTTGGATGGCTAATGAATGTGGGATGGTGATTGGATGGTGATTGGTTGGAAGAGGATTCCTGAATAGGTGGTGCATGGTGGATAATGGTTGGATGAGTGGATGCTGAATGGTGGACTCTGGATGTTGACTAGAAGCTGGATGTTAGATAGAGGATGGTGGGTGTTAGATGTTGGATGGTGGAAGGGTGGGGAATTATGTGGATCAGAGGTTATGCACCTTGGCCTCAGGCATCAGGTCTGTACACCAGGCTGAACGCAACTGTCCCAGGACTCTTTTGTTCCTCTTTGGGAATGGGATTGGGGATGAAAATGAGCAGGAAGCAGAGCAGTAACACACCCTGCCCCCACCCCGTTGGCCATCCCACTTGTTTTCCTTCTCTTCACTCCTTCAAATTGGAGGGTGTCCTCCTTCCTTGTATCTGGCCCCATTGAAATCTGACCTCCATCCCAATTCCTGAACCTCGAACCTGAGGCTTGGGGTCTCAAGTGACTGGGATCAGGTTCTGGGGGATGCTGTTTTGTCAAAGGGAGGATGCGGCCGGGGTGCTACCTGGGAGCTGGGGCTGGGAGCGCGGAAGCGCCCCGGGGCCTGAGTGTGAATGAGGGGCCGGGAGCGCGCGTGTGGGCGGGGAGCGCGGGCGAGGGCGGGCGGCAGCCAGGGAGGGCGAACCCAGGCTCGCAGCTCCGAGCCCAGCCTGGCGACCCGGCGGGAGCATCCTGCGCCGGAGGGTGAGTGTGAGCGAGGCGCAGGGGGCGCCCCCTCCCCACACTAGTCCCAGCCCTCGCCCCCGGTGCGCCCTGGCTGGGAGGGGAGAAAGGGGGGAGTTTGGGGAGTTTCGAGTCGGAGCTGCCCCGGGGAAAGAGGACGGAGTGGGGGCCGCGCTCAGCTGCCGGCTGCGGACGCCGGGCTTCGGGCGAGGGTAGTGCTCCTGGGGGCCGGCGGAAGTGTGGGGGGTGGGAGTCCTTGAGGTGCGGATGCTGCCGCTGGCGCTGGACCCCGGCGCGGGACAGCGGGGAGGCAGCCCTTAGAGACTTGCTGGCTGCCTGCCTGGCCCCTGGCTCAGCCCAAGGTGACAGCTCTGTCATCGGCCTCCCTCATCTGTCTTTATCCCTCTGTCTCTCCGTCTCTCTCCCTCTATCTGTAGGGTCCCTCTGGCTCTGTTTCCCTCTTCTCTCTCCAGTCCTGTCACCTCTGTTTTGTCTCTGTGGCCAGATGGTTCTTCTGCTTTCCCTCTGGGCTCTTTCTCGGATCTGTGTGGATCTCTGAGTCCAGTCTCTTGGTCTCTGCCCTGGCTGCCCGGGGCTCTAGCTGAGGTTCTGAGTCCTGGGATGGGTTTCCAGGAGGGGCTCATATGGAAGGACTGATGCGGGAGCATCGGCTGGGAGAGGGAGGGTAGGCGCTCACTCTCTCCCGCTCTGGGATTGGGTGGAGGCATATGGCCCCCTCCCAGCCTTCCCTGGGTCTCAGTTGGGACCTGACCAAACTGAGCTGGGTGTTCGGTGAAAGAAAGCTCATATCCCAGAATAACAACCCTCCGCCTCTGCTGGTGCCCACAGGACCCCTCCCCCACAACCAGCAAGACTTCACAGGCATTCCATCCCCCAGCTTGCTGCTCTCCCTCTGCCCAGGTCCCTCCCAGCACTCCTGCCCCTTGCCTGTGGCCCCCTGCCGCCTCCCAGCCAGACCCCTCCCCCATTTGTGCCTCCGGCCAAGTGCAGGTGGAGAGTCCAAGGCTGGTGCCTATGAGGCCTATGAGGCCCACCAGGGCTTCTCTTCCCGAAACTCTTGCTGTGCTCTCTCTGGCTGGGCTCCCTTGCCCTTGTGCTGGCCCGAGTGGGCATGGCCAAGTGCGGCAGGATGCCGGTTTCCCTTTGGTTGTGGGTATCGAGGGCCTGGCCCCGAGTGGGTGTGGGGTGTCCGCTCTCAGAGAGGACGTGGCCACCTTTGCCTCTGGCTGACTTGAACCTGACCCCCGCTGCTCCCAGCCTCCTGGCTCAAACCCTTTTGGGTCCCCAGATCTCTTGCCCTCGCCTAGCTGTTCCCTGTCGCAGACATCTCTCCTCCCCACTGGCCTGGCTGCCTCCTGCTCAGCCCCCAGGCCTCAGATCAGCTGACCGTCTTCAAGGAAGCCTTCATGGGTCTCAAGGCTGAGTCAGCTTCTCCTGCTCTGCCCCTGCAACCCTGGGCATGGTGGGTGGTGCCTGTCCAGGGCCCCCTCCAGTGGTGGGTTTGGGCGGGGAGCAAGGGTACAAGAGGTCCAGCTGAAGCAGGGGGCGGTGGGCCCAGGGTGGGGTGGGTGTAGGCTGGAGCAATCAGAAGCTTCCAGGAGGAGAGTGGACTCCAGTATCTGTCCCACAGCAGACACCTCGTTTCTCCCCCTGTCTTCGTGCACCCCAGCAGTGGCAACAGCATGACTGCCCCCCAGCCTGCCATGCCAGAGCTAAGTCCAGTGGAGGAGGCTGGAGGCCCAGCAGGAAAGGTATGCAGTTGGGGCCCTGGGGCGTGCCAGCCATGGGGGACAGGAGCAAGCCAGCCTCAAGCCCTGGCCTGTGATTTGAGGAATGCCTCAGTTTACCCATCCGTGTGAGAGAGGCGGTTGCTCCTCTCTGGAAGTCTGCTCCATGAAGCAATTGAAGGCGAAGCTCACTGGCTTCCTCAGCACCACTCCTGGACCTCGAGGACTCTAGGGTTTGCTCCCCAAAGCAGTTTGCTCTCTGCTGGGTGAGGCAATGCCAGAGTCCTCTGCCCTGGTCCCCTAGTTTTTGGGGGCCGTGTTAATGCAGCCAAAAAGTGAAGTCCTGCACGAAGGGTGCAGTCTTGATGTTCTGCATTCTAGAGCTGGGACACTGTCATCGTTAGCACTGCTGGCGGGCAGGGGACCAGCCCAGAGTCACACAGGGGCCTCCCTGGCAGGACAGATGGATGCCAAGCCTTAGAGCTCCAAGCACCGCTGGCTGGACCTCCCCCATCCCAGTGGCACACTCTGGGCCGAGGAGCGCCCCGGTTGGGGGTCAGCGGGCCTTCACAGAGGAGGACAGGGAGAAGAACGGCAGGTGGGGAGGGATTCCAGGAGGACCCGCAATGCTAGCAGGAGGAGCCGGGATGGTCCGGTCGCTGAGGCGTGGCCAGGTCCCTGCACTGCCGTTCCTCTGATTGTGGAGATGTCCCAGCCCCATGGGGTTCCCTGCGGTACCCGGTGGAAATGCCGATTCCTGGCCCCCACCCTGAGAGTCTGGGCTCAAGCCCGGGAATGTGCATTTAAACACATGTTCAGATGGTTCTGCTGTGGGGGTTCCGAGCCACTTAGCAAAACCCTGCAGCTGTGTGCCTGCTTTTCCTCAAGGCGCTCACGCCATTGGGGGAGGGGGCCAGGCACCAAGCAGGTCTACATCGGAGAGTTGGGGGGTGGGGAGCTCCAGGAAGGGGGGCCCTGCGGGAGCGGAGGGACGGAGGGACGCGGGACAGTGCAGGCGTCGGCTGCTGTGCAGCTCGGGCCTCTACCTTGGAAGGCCTTGAATGGGAGGCGGAGCTGCTGAAGGCACCAGGAGGGCCTGGGGAGGCAGCCCCCGCACACTCTTGTGGGCACCGAACAATGAGCCCAGAGCAAGCCCAGAGAGCCTCCGGTTGCCATGGTAACAGCTTCCCAGCTCCTCTGAGCGGGGGAGGAGACCAAGAGCCCAGCAGGGAAGACCCCAGGAAGGGGCTGCGCAGGATACAGGAGGCAGCTGGGGATGCACAGAAGCCCTGGGCTCACTCACCATGTGGCTTTGGCCTCTCTGGTCTCAGGCTCCTGTCTGTGAAGCGGGCCTAAGGGCTGAGCCCAGATGGATCCTTTGGTGCCCCAGGTGCTGAGTGCTCCAGCCTCAGGGGTGGGATGGGGGAGGGGCCAGCACCTGCACAACCCCGCCCCCGCCCCCCCACAACCCCGACCCCCCTCACACACACCTGAAGCTTGGGCAGGGAGGGCCCCTGATCCTCCCAGTGAAGAGTGCAGGACAGGTGTGGGAGGGAGCAGGGAGCCCAGGGCTCGGCATCGCCCTGACCGCTGCCCCCCCTCCCTGCAGACTGCGGCAGGTGCCCGGGACAAGGGCCCTCGGCTGGGCCAGCAGCTGCCCTCAATTGTGGTGGAGTCCAGTGAGGTGGGTTCTGTGGAGAGTGGGGAGCTGCATTGGCCCCCAGAGGGCGCGCTGAGGGCATCAGCCCAGAGCCAGGTTGCTGCTGGTGAGTGAGGGGCTGTGGGCGTGCCAAGAGAAAGGTCAGAAGCAGGGGCTCCTCCTGCCCGCTCCTGCAAGCAGGGCCCTCCACCCCTCCCATGTGCCCATCCTCCGAGCCTCTGTGTGGGCACCTGGGGGCCTCCTGGCCTTGCCCCTCTCGTTGTCCAGTGCCCCCTCCCACCTGCACACAAGGACCCTGTGTGTTGTGGTGGCCGCAGGCCTGGCCTGTGGGAGGTGCCCATTAAGGGTCTGTTGGACCCAGGACTAAATGCTCCCACTCAGAGTTCCAGCTCTTCTCTCCCTCCTGATTCATTGCCTTTGAGACAAGTGTGATTCAAAGGGCCTGGGACAAGTGTGATTCAAAGGTGAGGGGATGGGTGCTAAGCAGGCCTGACCCAGGTGCCCATGATGTGGGGAGATGCGCCAGCCTGGTAGCAGGCTCCCCTGCTGGCCATAGGTGCCTGGTCAAAGGCCAAGGGGCTGCCAGAGCCAAGGAAGCTTCTGGAAGGAGGAGGATGTGTGGGCAGGAGAGGAGTCTTCCAGGGGCCAGGTGTGAGACAGGAGAGACAGCAGGCTAGCCAATGGGGGCCTCTGTGGAGGGCACATGAGGGGCGAGCTGTGCCCTGGGAAGTTTCGTGCCCTGGGGAGTCTGTCTCTTGAAGAGGAAATGAATTTGGCCTCAGCTGGGGCCACCTAGCACCCTCTTGCCCTCTCCCCCTCCTCCGATGTCAGCCCCCCAGCAGCTTGGGCCCAGAAGGGGCCTGTCCGGGCCATAACCCCCACCTTTCCCCAAAGCCCCCTCAACCTCTGTCAGGTTCCAGCCAGGGCCCAGAGCGGCACCAGGGACCATCCCTTGGGTAACCACTGGAACTTGGGCTCTGGGGAGGGTCTCCAGGGGGGCCCTGGACTTCCCCTCAATCTGCCACCTCCTCGCTCTGGTAGACGTGTCAGGGGAGGGAGTGCTCCTGCTCCCAGAGCCGGGCCTTGCGGGGCCGTGCCTGCCCTGCCTGGCTGAAGCCCCCACCCCCAGACCGCCCATCTCCTTGCAAGCCTATCAGAAATGCAGCCCCACCAACATGGAGGCCTTTATGTTTCTGCAGCCCCCTCACCTAGGGAAGCACCAGAGAAGACTCCAGATGACACCAGCCGTGAGCGGGCCAGCCGCAAGGACCGGGCCCCCCAAGCCCCCCAGGGAGGGGACAGGGACATGGCCAGATTCTACTGGGAGGCGGGGCCCTGCAGACCCTGCCCCTGCTCACTGACAGTTGACAGGGCCTCGGCCCCAGGGTGGCTGGGCTGACACGTGGAGCGGGGAGAGCCGAGCCGCCGCCTCGGCCTCACGAGGCCTGGCCAGGACCACAGGCCTGCCCTCTCCCATCCGCAGCCCAGGTCTGGATCACACCCTCCTTGTCCTGAGGTTTGAAGCAGAAGTAAAGGCCCTTCCTGGTGGCTGGCGGGCACGTTTGCTAGGGACTCGAAGGGCTGGGGACAGTTTTGGTTTTGCCATGGCCTTCCAGACAAGGGCCGTGACTCGGAGCCCAGGCTGACCAGGCCAGAGTGCCAAGTGAGTGACCACTTGGGTGTTCTACACTGGGAGTGGGGTGGCTCGTGGGGCCGTCCAGGGGCTGTGGAGTTTGCTCCTCGGGCTCCCCTGCCTAGAGCCTTCTGCTCTGCTTGGCCTCAGCTGGGACCGCCCAAGGCAGGACCAGCTTCCTCCAGGTGGCCCTCCCACCTCTCCTTGGGGCCTCCAGCTCTGGCTGGACCCTGAGGGCAAGATTCCTTCCTCTCACACCCCTCCTCACTGGGTGCATGGGGCACAGGAATGGTCCATGGGATGGGGTATCCTATTCCAGGCTGGATCTCATTAAATCCTTGGAAAAGTCCCACTTTGCAGATGAACACACTGACGTGTGAAAGAGGCACCCAAGGCTCATCCTGGCCCCAGCTATGACGGGATCCCTGGGGCTGAGTGTGGAGGCTCCTCTTCCTGCCCACGTGAGGGTTCTGTCCCTCCATGGGGTCCAGCGACATTGTCTCTTGGCTCTGTCCCTCTGTACAAGGGGAGCCCTCCTGGCTGGTTGGGGTTAGAATGGGGGGCAGAAACCTGATCACTGCCTGGGCCCAGGTGTGCCGCCCTCCATCCCATCCTCCCATTCTGGTCCCCTGCCCTTGGCTAGCCTGACCCAGGCCAGAGGAAGCTCAGGGCCTGGCAGGAGGCAGCCCTGCATAAATGTTAGCTCAGCAAAGTCCTCGGGCCCAGGCCGGGTGGGACAGGGCCCTGGTGAGCTCAGAGGGGCAGGCGGGAGACACAGGCCCTTCTGTTCTTTCCTGGAGGCCTTGTAACCTCAAGGATGAGTAAGGCGCTTTCCCCAGCACTCCTTCCTTCTAAAAATAACCCACCCCCCAAATGCAGGAGAGGTGGGAGGCGGAGGTGCGGAAGTTTGCCTGGCAGCCTGTTTTAATTTCAACCCCGTGGTCCCATGGGCCACGTCCACAGTCCCAGATGTCTCCGTAGTCCTCCTGGGTCTCTAGTTTAGGAGAGGCGTTGGACTGTCCTTCCAAGTCCTTCCTGTCCTCCTCCTCCAGCCCTCCTGTGGTCCTGCAGGGACATGGGAGGGGGGCAGACATTTCACAGGAAGCACCCCAGGACTTGCAGACTGACACATGGGACGTGGGGCAAGGGACTTGAGCAAACAGGGATGATTTCATATTCCTGGTGCGGAATGTGAGGTGGGCCAGCCAGGGTGTGGCCTGAGATTTACTGAGATTTGGGGGCCCTCCCAGGCCCAGTGTTACACCCATTTATATAGGACTTTCCCAAGGTCCCACAGCTGACAAGTAGCTGAGCTGGGACAGAATCCAGGTCCCCCTGAGCCCCAGGCCTGAGTGGTACCCACAATGGTGGTAACCACCATAGAGCCCACCATCTACCAGGCAGGCCTTGAGTGGAGGTGACCCATAATTGGAGGTCCCAGGACTTTGTGGTGCTCAGGGAGCCCAGGGGTGGGGGGAGTCAGACCCACCGAGGCAGTCCAGTGGGGGCAGGGCAGAGCATCTGTTTGCCCCACCGAGCTCGGGCCCCCAGCCTGCAGGACCCAGTCCCTTGAAGACAGGGCCCCCAGCCAACTCACCTTCACTCGCAAGGGCTTGTGCCCGTTAGGGGGCGGTGCCCCGAATTGGATGCCCGCCCACCCTGTAGCCCCGCCCGTATTCCCTGAGGCCCCGCCCCCAGCAGGCAGGCGCGCCCGACCTGGGGAAAGGGCCTTGGGAATCAGCCTTTGGCTAGAATTCTGGCCCCGTCTCACCAGCTGCGTGGCCGTGAGCAGTTCCTACGCCTCTCGGAGTCGGTGTTCCAGTACAATGAGGGTGGAGGGTGTTTGCTCCACAGAGGCCCTGGGACTCCCACTGAGGAGTCCCGGGCAGTCACCGTGGGGTGTCCCTTCTGTCTCTCGGTTTCTGACTGCTGGAGACGTGGGGGACAGGAGGCCAGCGAGCAGACCAGCCTGAGCTAGGGGGAAAGACCCCTCCAGCCCACAGGGCTTGAGCTGGGACTCTTGTGACCCTATTTCACAGAGGGGTACCCAGGGCTCAGGGGGCTAATGACTCAAATGGGAAGCCAGAGGGCTTCCTGGAGGAGGTGCTGGTATCTCTGCGTCCAATCTGGCCTGTCTGCAGATGGCAGTGGGGTGCTGCAGCATCTCAGGTGCCTTCCAATCTATTATGGGCTGGATTTTGTCCTCAAAAAATTCTTACATTGAAGTTGTAACTCCCAACAGTACCTCAGAAGGTGACTATATTTGGAGATAAGGCCTTTAAGAAAGTGACTAAGTTAAAATGAGGCCATTAGGGTGAGTCCTAATCCCATATGACTGGTGTCCTTATAAGAACAGGAGACACGCACAGACACGCACAGAGGGACGACCGTGTGAGGATGTGGGGAGAGGATAGCGTCTACCCGCCCAGAGAGGGCTCAGGAGACACCTGCTCTGCTGACACTTGGATCTCGGATTTCCAGCCTCCAGAACTTTGAAAAAATAAATGTCTGCTGTTTAAGCCCCCCAGCCAGGGGTACTGTGTTCTGGCAGAACCCTCGGACACTAACGCACGAGCTTGTCTCCACCTGCCCTCCTCTGCCCCCTGCCCCAGTGGCTCCAGCCTGCTTGGGACAGGCCTGGATCAGTCCTCCTTGGATTTTCCCTAAGTTTTTTCCAAGGATGCTAGCAGCGGAATCCCCCCGTGAAGACATGTGGCCTGCCTCTTCTGGGAAGTCTCGATGACCCTCTCCACAAATCATCTCCAGCCTGATCCACTGTGGAGGAGGAGGCCTGTGCTCACAGCCTCGCTGACCCCTGCCCAGAAGGCCATCCCTCCTCACCCCTGAGGGGAATCCTTCTCTCCTTTAGCCCCCTTCCACGCCAGCTCCTGAAGCCCTCTGGAATGGCCTGTGGCTTCTGGTACTCCCTTTGCTGTCACTGTGACATCCTCCCCAAACCGCCCTCACCCCCAGTGCCCCGTGGCCCACGTTTCTGCGCTCCTGGCTCTCGATGCCAGGCAGGGGCTCTCAGGATGAGCTTGGCACACAGGCCCTGGAGGGAGGGCTACTTCCGGGTTGGGGTGCTGTGGGCTCATGTCCCCCTCCCACACCCCGCGCACCCCGGCAGGCCGGCGCCTCTGGCCTCTGGCCTCAGTGTGCCCCCAGAAGGGGCTGTCCAGCAGTCCCTGCAGGGTCCCTCCCCCACTGCCTTGAGCCGTGAGGGGCTGCCCCTCCCCTCGCGTGCTCCCTGAAGCCTGAGCCATGGACGACTAGGAATCAAAGGTTGGAGTGATAGTGTCTGGAATGGAAAGGGAGTGGGAGCACTTCTGAAAGTGAAACTACGGGGTTGGAGTGGGGGGGTGGGGCAAGGGGTGGGGCCGGTGGGCCCAGGGCGGCGGCGCAGGCCAGGCCGGGAAGTCCCAGCTGTTGGTCACTCACTCTCCAACAGTGTTGTGAGAGTGAGTGACTGCCCCAGCGGCCT